TGAGAGTATTCCTGGCTGTAGTCGACGACCCAAAACAATTCGTCACTGCACAGGACCCAACCCCAATGTTTACTCTTCTCTGGTCGTGAATATTTGAAAAGTACTGAAACTGATATTGGTTAACAATTTAGTAGAAGGTCTATTTATTGTCCTGACACATCTTTATTATCCTTGGATAAACAGTGGTGACGTAAAAATTGAAAAGACACTATTTTGTGTGTGCATATTGAAGGTTGCCCTTAATGTTATTTAATTACTGTGAAGAAGGGCTTGCACTGGTAATATTCTAAATGAAATTGTGTATCAGTGCGACTCAGCATTGCTCCAAAACACTACTCGTCTGATATTGACGAAGGGTAAGGTAGCGCTACATTAGATAAATAAGAAGGCAAGGCAAAATTGATGTGTACGTCCACTCAAGACACCTTCCCCCCGCCCAACTGCTTAACGTATTCTGTGGTCAAATATTTAATTACTGGCTAGTGAGCGTTAATTAATGTCTGATTGTAATGGAAGTCATCAAAAAATATTCAATGAAATAAGATTATATTTGTTTTGATATGGTAAAATAGAATAAAATTCGATCAACATAAACTTCTGTTACATGGGATACGAATGCTAGTCGAGGCAAATTCAGCCTAATGTGTGCAGAATTTAACGAAAATGGAAATTCGTCCTTCTTTTGGTGGAATTTAACGAAATAATTCAAAGTCAGTCAGGCTATAGAACATTTAAAAGAATTTTTTGATATAAGTCGACGGGATTTTGGGACCCCTAAAATAAAACATGCGGAAGGCAACTAATTTAAGCGATGACAGTGTGGACGACATGAAGGGAACATACAAAATGGAAAGTGCGTCATTTGATCATATGGAAGACGAGTATCAATCTGGGGTACAGTATGTGTTGTACGTAGAGTAAATTAAAAAGGGTAGGGGAGATTGGGTTGATAACACACTTGTGGGTATGCCACATACAGACCCGCAAACTGTCTGTTCATGCACAATCTAGTGTACATTGAGCCACTTTTCCGATTTAATAAAAGTTATTTGAAGTGCGTTAAGGTAGACAGTAAGTACTGTTATTAAAATTTTCTTAGGAGGTTTAGCAGATTTGGATAATTTGCGCTGACTCAAATTCCACCGAACGCCTCGAGTTTTTTAAAATTGGGTCAACTGAACTATCAAAATTTTCACAGCGTTCGATTCTCAAGGTTGAAATGTTTCAGAATATTAAGCAAACTTTCAACAGTCAAAGGTTTTTGCGACTGACAGCGAATTCGAGATACGTATGAGTCCTATATCGTGAGATCAAAGGTATACCACCCGATCTCGAACTCGGCATTTTGACACGAAAGGAAAAGTGCATGCCCCAGGTGACGACCTGCTGACACACACAGCCCTGTCGAGCTCCAACCGGGTACTGAAGAAGGGGCTACTGGTTCAGCCACTCCATGGCGACACTGCAATTCCTGAATTAAACAGCACGATCCTTTAGGAGATTAAAAAACGCATAGGTGTACAAGGAGAACATTAATTATTTGGTGATTTCGTCAATTGGGAGGTAGGAAAAGCGGACAAGAAATAAGATTTGGGTAAGAGTGAGCATATAACACATTCGTAGGAACGGGTAAGAGAAAGAGTGTGTGTAATATAGCCATCGCAGTTGCCAGTAAGGTGCAAAGTGATTCCTTTGATGAGGAGACAATATAGAAAATAACAGTAAGTTACCTACCTCATGAACCTTTCGAATCAAAATAAGAGTTATTATTTAAGCGGCAAAGTGGCATGTTTTAGAAATGAGTGCCCTGTATCGCAGGTATCCTACATTAAGCCATAGGCTGCTAACTTACTAATTCAAGTTATTACAAGAGCTAGTGTAATATTATGATTAATATTGGAATAATAGTTGCGTTAGACTGCCATAGTCATAATGATTATGAACGTATGGAGAAGCTGAAGACCAAGAAGACCCAGTTTTGGAAGAAAATGACTAACCCAAGCGAACATGCGAGTCCCAGGGGGAAAGTAATAAGAATGCGACATCGAAACCTCAGGCAATGAATGATTGTCCCGGCGATCGATCTAGCATGTTCGCTTGTATTGGCAACTTATTTGGGCACGATGCGCTTCGGTCGGACCGACGATGGGAAACGTTTACCCTTCGTGAGGCCTCAACCTATTCGCAGATACGATTTCTGTACAGATGCCTACATAATAAATTGCCGAAGAGTGTTTATTACTGATAGTCGCTGAAAACGGATGCGAAGAGATTCGCAATGTTTCATACTTACCTTCAAACTTAGCAGTTTTTAAAGCCAAATTACGTAAACATTTAACTTCGGAAGATTTAAGTCCTTGTTATCCGTCTCCTTCCCAAACACACAATTTCTCGACTTTGAAAAAGGTCCCCCTGGTATATGAACTGGTTATATTTCTATTAAATTGTTTTCCATATATGTCTTTTTCTTCCTCTAAAGAGTGATATTTGCAACAGTATTCCCACCCCTTCTCTGTCCAGTCAATATTGCAGTTCTCCGGTCCCCGTTTTACAACCCTGACGATGGGCTTCGTGGTCTCTATTCATGCTCAT